CTACTTCTACTTTTACTTCTACTTCTACTTCTACTTCTTCTACTTCTACTTTTACTTCTTCTACTTCTACTTCTTCTACTTCTTCTTCTACTTCTTCTACTTCTACTTCTACTTCTACTTCTACTTCTACTTCTACTTCTACCTCTACTTCTTCTACTTCTACTTCTACTTCTTCTACTTGTACTTTTACTTCTTCTACTTCTTCTTCTACTTCTTCTACTTCTACTTCTACTTCTACTTCTACTTCTTCTACTTCTACCTCTACTTCTACTTCTTCTTCTACTTCTACTTCTACTTCTACTTTTACTTCTACCTCTACTTCTACTTCTTCTTCTACTTGTACTTGTACTTCTACTTCTTCTTCTACTTCTTCTTCTGGCCAATAGGACTTGGTTATGTCCAGTCCTCCTTTGAGGAGGCGGATGGAGCCCAGGAGATAATGCCCATCAGATCTCAGGGCTCTTTGCCCACTGAGACCCAGAGAGAGGTTTTAGTCTGTCAGAGCCCAGTGATTAACACTTAACTGTGTCCAATAAATGTCATTTTTTATATTTTTGATCCACTCTGGTTTATTCTCAGGTTTCCAACTAAAGAATCGGGTTAACAGGCTGATTAGGGAAATGCCTTTGGGCCAGGCTTCTCCTCCCAAATGCCAGTGTTGATCACTTTAACTGTGTCCAATAAATCTAATATTTGTCCTCTTGGTCTACTCTGGTTTGTCTGAGCGTTTCTGTGGTTAATGAAGTCGACGGATAATTGAAGGCCGCAGAACGAGGGAACGACCACATGTAGCCATCAGCCGCCTCAGAAATGTTTTTGTTTGCTTTGTGAGACTGGAGCTGGTTTCGGGGAGCGTTGCTATGCTAACGGATGCTAACGGATGCTAACAGATGCTAACAGCCGGTGTCGGGTTGCGGGTTGTAGAGCTCCTAATTCCATTAGCCGGCGTCAATCACTGCCGAGGCTTCAAACCACCTCAGGCTAATGCTAATATTTACTGAGGGGCCCCAGTGTCAGTACACAGGTGAAGCCCCCCCCCCC